GACAGCGTGTTAATGCCCAACAGCTGTTGGATTCTCACTAATGCTGCTACACTCATTATTTACCCCCTAATCTTCTAAGCGTTTGATCAGCACCGTGATTTGTGACAGCTTTATAATTCCTTCATGCTTTATGATTTGAAGTTGCTGCAGTTTTCAGCAAAGCTGTAGGAAGAGTCACCGATAGAGTGGAAACAGAGTTTTCTGTGCTCTTGTGCCATAGGGTTTGGAGCTGGAAATGCTTGCTGTTACACCATCACTGTTCACAGGTTCTGCAAGATGAAGTGGCTCTATAAAGATATGGTTAAAAAATAGAGATTTTCATATAGCAGTTTATAGGTGCAGTTAGTATACCACCACCATAAGATGATCTTAGCCATTAAGTTAAAATTGCAAAGTAAAGCTCCAACCCTAATACCATTGAAAGTGCCTTAACTTGGGTTAGATGGATCAGACCAATTGGCTTCCTCTTGTTTGTCACTTTCTTATGTTGATGTGAACTCCTTTGGTGTTATTCCAGCATGCTCCTGGGCAATGTGCAAAGTACTTGTGAGCTGGAGAGAAAAACAATATAACATGTTCTCCTACACGTCCAGTCCTAGATTTTGCACTTTTCCCTCCACAGCATTGACCCACCAGTCCTGACTGCTGTGACCGGTTACACTCGCAGGTGATGGGCAGTGCATCGCTGTGCTTTTTCACATGGCACAGGTGACGCATCAGTCTGGCTTGGGGCTCCCAGTTCACCTCTGCTGTTCAAACCCTCTTGAATGATTCTTCTAGCCAGCAGCAGCAGTGTACCCTTGTGGACTGTTCTTGCATTTGTTTTCCCGTATGGCAGCAGTTTCCGAAATCTTATGTCCCACTTGTGTAATGTCATGTCAAATTGCATTATATGTGTGATTCAGTAACGATAGATATCTAATACAAGGTTGTAAAAAGGCTAGCATTATATGGTCACTCTTGAAATATCCCTCTTTTAAAATGAAATCAAAATATAATAATGAAGTGCTTATTACCATACTGAAGGACAATACATTGAAGAATTACTTTTGTTCCTGTCTTTACATTCTGCCATGCACTGACCGATCAGCACAAAGGCTCTGCGGCTGCTCTCCAGTTTTCTGAGCAGAGCGCCTCACGTGGGGTCACTTCTTACCTGTCCCAGCGGTCACTGTCTGAGAACTCAAATCATGTCATTCTGCTGGAGTCCTCGGTGTGGACTGTTGCACGATGTTTTAATTCATGGTCCGATCTCTTCTACTGTGAGTGGAAAATTGTCTGCAACCCTGTACAGTCATAGAAACCCTAGAGTATTTGTAAGAACCACAAAAGGGCTCTTTGTGGGCCTGTGATCTGGTAGCCCAAATGATGCTGCTCTGTTGTCTTCAGCACGCCCTCTCTGAACCTCAACAATAATAGCTTCCCATACTGCGACACCTTCTTCTGCCTGGCATGTCTAAGGCTCAGGAAACATGGAAGAAATCTTTGCCCGAGAGCCTGCCTGTTTTTTTATATTATACCAGATATACCCGATGCCTCATTGTCATCCCGAGACCAACCTAACCAATTAAATTATTAAACAGCAGTTTTAGTATTTTTATCGTGGATGCCCATGTATGTTTAACTATATTCATTTGGCTTCTAGCCCATCTTCCAGCTACAGCAGTGTAGTTAATTTTGTGGAGCAGTTTGGCCTTTTTGGTTCATGGTTGCTAGGAGGCTAGATAGTTGGTTAAACTGTACAAAATGCAGGACAGCCCAGGTCGTACACAGTGATGCATCATACTGGAATTTGGTATTATCCATCACAAGCTGACAAGAAGAAATCTCTGTTTGGATTCCCTCTAATCAGCCCTTTTGTGTGGTGGTGATAGAGACCTCCTGGTTTGTGACTGTGCAGAAATACACGGTGTAATACAAGATTTCCAAACGCAGTTAAACCGTTTAAACACACTTACCTTTGAACCCCCAAAGCTCACTGGACACATCTTGAGTTTTCAGATAATATACATAATGAGCTGTATTTGTTTTTAAAAAAGCAGACAGAATGATATGGCAAATGAGAATTGCTTCCCTGTATTTTTTTGTTCTCCGAGTTTGAACTTATCTGCTCCTGGCTGAGGTCTAGAGTTGGATATATCACGAAGGCACTTCAGATTCAGCTTTTCTCTCTCTTTTTTTTTTTCCCGATGCCCATTTACTAAAGTACCACCAGGCCACCTGGAGCAGTTTGGCTCCCCTGGCTCTTTGCAGGATAGAAAGCGTCCTTTATTACTTTACAGCGCTCATTATGGCAAGAGGCACTGTGTCTTATATCTTGTCAAAGGCTTTCACCGCTGCTTAAATCACCAGCCTTTTCTGTCCAATTTGAATTGGAGAAGGGGACTGAATTCCCCTGACGCATCTGAGCGCGGTCGTGGGCCTGCCTCTACGCCTGCACCTCACAAAGGCAATTAGGAGCCTTCTGCATCTCTCTGTGCACGCATTCTGATTTGCACAGAAGAAAGAAATGATTGAAATTAATTTATGGATTCTAATCAGTAAAGTCTCTATTTGCCGATTTGCCACTCTCCATTTTCAGCTTTCCTGGGCTTACTAATGCTCCATGTTTTTGTGTGGTAATGATTTTGTGTGGCTTTTTTACCCGGATGTGTTAAGCACATTATTTCAGCAATCTTAACCTGCTGCTAACCTGTTTGAAGTTTCCGGCCTTTTAAAATCCCATCCTTCACTGCGAGAAGAGGAGTAGACCGCAGGGACGTTCCCCTGCTGGACCCTCCTGTGAACGGGTGTGAAGCGCTTTAATGCTTAGTGCTTCAGTGCTTTAGTAGTGTGTATTTTGTGAAATGGTAACGTTCTATGGCCAAGCAAAGTGATATGTACAATTTCAAAATCAAAAATTGCAGCTCATTTTCCGTAGGATATCTGTGGGTAAACACGTATTGTTCGCGTTGTGTTTTTGCTACCTGTTGTTATTTAGGTGCAAAATAATAATTTTGTGTTCCCTGTGGACCTGTTCTCTGTGTTTCCTTTCCTTCATGGGGGTGCTGGGATGAGAGTTTCAGTAATTTACTCAGCAGCAAGAAGAGAGCCCATCCCTTCCCGTCAGAAAATCACCACTGCTGTTGTATTATTAGAGAGCGTTAAAGGTTTACTTGGAGCTGGTTTGTGTAAATGATTGTTTGACAAAATTAAATTGAAGGAGTGCATAGCCATCATCGCTGAGCAGGGCTGGCTTGAGAAGGAATCGGCCAGACCTATGCTGACCTTGGCAGTGGCTGTCCGGTGTAGAAGGGGGTGACTCCAGCTGCCCGTGGAGAGCATGCCAGGGCAAGTGCACAGTCTCTCGGTGACCGTGGGGCTGAAAGCAACCCCAACATGCTGAACCACAGGTTTTGTGCAGGGTGTCGATTTTTTTTACAGCTGCATGCCAGTAAGGGATTATCTTTGTGTTGAAATATGGCATTTGCCAGAACAGTCCTAGGTTATGTAGGACTAGACCCTCTGTGCTACAGTGACCCTCCCAGAACGGAGGCTCAGCGGTGGGACCAGTGTCATACTGAAGACCAAGGCTTCGAGGCTGGGAATACAAGAGCTCGTGTCCTCTCTCTGGAACGGCTCCCAGTAGTAGCCGACCTGTCTTGGATTTTGTGCAGCGTGGTTTTGTGTCTGGGTGACTGTGTTTAATAAGTAGTGCCATGTTCTGACCTGAGGTGGCCTGCTGAAGTAGCGAGTGTTTAGTGGGGCACATGAGCATTAAACAGCCTGCAGTTTAGCACTGCTCCTGTCCTGCCCTGTTGCTGGGAGAGGTAAATGGGGGGAGGGGCTGTTATTAGAAGTGTAACCAGTGACCTGGAATTTGTCAGGTTGTTCATGCTGGCACTGTGCTGCCGAATCCCAGTGTGTGTGCGGAGCAGCTCCTGTGTCCTTGGACAACCCTGACCCAGCTGTGCTGTGCACTGCGCAGCCTTCCCAGGCTGACCGTGGCTGCCTTCTCTAAGAGAAGCCCCTTTTCACTCTCTTTAATAGGAAGTTAGAAGCTCATGTTGTTATTGAGAACAAAGAAACATACTGTTTGTTGTGCAAGTTTTTTTTTACAGAAAAGAGTGTATCCCTCGTATGTTTCACTGAATATCCATTAATTCCATTTGCAGTAAAGCTGTAATGTGACTTAAGCAGAGAACATTCAATGAGAACCTTTCTTCAGAGATCTGATTACTGTGGGAAAGACTGACTTAATGCACTGGGAAAATAGCAGTCAAAATAGACAGTCTCAGTGTATTTAATTTTTATTAATATACATTGCATATTATATGTAGTCTAATAGTGCAAGTCCACCCTGCAATATGACACAATACTATCTACAATAAAAAATATAAAAACGCTGTTGGGCATTATGAACAGACATCCCCAGAAAGCTAAAAAATGATTTTTTCATTCAGGTTCATTAAATTCTCAGCCTGCTGGTAATGAAATGTTTGTGAATATTGAGTAAATGATGTGTGTGTGTATATATATATAGGTATATATGTAGTTCAAATGTATCTTGGTGGCTTAAGCATAGAGATGTAATTAAATATCTTGGGTGCTTTTATACAGCATTATACTTCTGTTCAGCAGCTGATAGGATTAAAAGTGTCCCTGGTGTGCAAGTGACTTTTACTTCAGAGGGTTCTTTAGACCAATTGTGCACAACAGTCTTTAAGAGGTCATAGTGTTGCTGTGTTTTTGATTGTGGAAAGTTCTGAGCTCCACATGTAAGGGCACAAAGCACAGACTGGTTGGCACACCCCCCTTGGCACACTGCTGCCCCCACTCGCATCATCCCCGTCATGGCTTGTGGAGCTCTGTGGGATCTCCTCTGTGCTGTCCCACAGACGCAATGGTTTGGCCTTGTCCTCACCTGTGCTGAGGGACGCCAGCGGCGTCAGATCTGCCTTTGCTGAATGAAAACCCATGACACCAGAGTGTCTTCTCAACTGCTATTTCTCTGTGTGCAGGTAGAGGAGGATGAAAAACTCAAGAAGAGGAAGGAGAGGTTTGGGATCGTCACAGGCGCTGCTGCAGCGGTGGATGACGTAGAGGTAAGGACATTTTACCTGCTGTTGCAGCTGTGGTCCTGGAGGCAGGAAGTGAATGTGTAGAGTCTTCAAGTCTTTTCAGTGCAGGGGAACAAATGAACTGATGGGGAAGGAAAACTTTGTATTTTTGTGAACAATAGTTTGTATTTTCACCTTCTGTGTTCTTCTGATTCCAAATCACTATCAAAAGGCTGTGCTGTCTCGATATTACAGAGGAGCTGCTGTTAATGATGGGAGCAGACCGTTAAAGTTAAACAAGGGAGATGTAGTAGACAGTATTGTTAATGGTGTCCATTAAAAATTAAATGCCATTTAATGCCATTTAATTTAAGAGCAGTGGTAACCCCCTGAACTGCAGTGCACATACTGCATTCATGGAGGCATGCTGGTGTCAGTCAGCAGGTGCCCTCTCCATTTCGAAAGGTATTAAGAGAGATTAGTGCACAGTACATCTGGAGCTGATTGATGTGTGTAGACTAGATGTTAAATCGGAGAGACTGGATGTTCATTAGTGCTAAAGACTGACGGAGAGGCAGGGTAGGGATGGTTCTTCAGCCAGGGCAGCTCTTAGAGCCCATGGTGTCCTGGGGGTTTGAATGTAAGAAAAGAGGGGCAAGGCAGTCTACCCCATCAGCTTCAAACAGCACGAGTGGGGGGAAACTGGCCACCAGTGGGGCTCCTATTCGATTCACAGAGACAAGTGATGTTCTGAGGGGCAGTTAAATCCAGCTTCATGCTTTTTCATTTTGGTGTTTTTTTTCTCCTTTTTAGGCAAAGAAGAGAAAGAGAGCAGAGAGATTTGGAAACGTGTGACATTATCATGGTTCTAAAAGTGTTTTCTTTTAAAAAATCTTCTTCCATTTTTTGTACTTTTTAACTTGTACTTTTTATGTTCATTTTTTTAAACATGGCTACTCCAAGCCAGGAATTTTCAACCACATAAAATGTACGCTGTAATTTCAGAATGTGACACTTTGTAAATTAAAGGTGGAACCTTTTTTCCAGTTGTGTGTGCTGTTTTCTTGGTGCGTGTGGGTTTAACAGAAGCTAGGCTGTGCTGCATTGTGCACAGGGGCCTGGTTTTCACTACCTGGAGCACAGAGTTTGTTGAGAAGTAAGTGTCCAGAGTTAGACTTTGCCATATTTCAGTTTTTGCAAAAGTACTTAAATGTTACTTTTTTTTTTACTTGACTTACTTTTATAAGTAAGAAACAGCTGCAAGCGGACACCAGCTGGGCTTCCTGATCAATGTATTGATTCAAAGTTAGACCTGCTCCACTGTAAAAATTGGCTGCTGAGTCACAAACCATCATGGTTGGGGTTATCGGCAGACTGGATCAGGAATGTGCCAACTGGTCATATGCTGTTAGTCCTGCATGTTCACAGCACTCAGCGATCAGTAGGGCTGCACAGTTCAAGGAACATAAACCGGAGGAAGGTATCGATCTGCCAAGTAGTTAAATTTCACTTAGGAGGAGGAGGGGGCATTTGTAATAGAAACAATAGTGACTAACACGAGAGAGTAGACACCAGAACTCCTGCCAGTCACGGAGTACTTTGTCACCCTTTCCCATTGTCAAGCAGTCATCCATCAGCTGAGCCTAAGCCTGCCAACCTTCTCTGTGTTCTTAATAAGGTTTTACCACTTTATCGTACATGCTGGTTGATAGTTATGGAGTTCTGCCTGCATTTCTGTAATAATTTATTGGAAATAAACCCTAAAACCTTAAGTAATAAGGTAATAATTTCGTATTACTTTGAATATGTGTCTTATCCTATCAGTGGAATAAGTAAAGGTTTATTCTATGCTAAAAAGAGAAGAAAAACACATTTCGGCTGTGGAGCCTTCTCCAGGTGTCAGGTGGAAGAAGGTTCCACAGCTGAAACATTTGTATTTATTTTTTTAAGCATTAAATAAACCTTTACTTGTCCCTTTGCAGCCTACGCATGCTGATGCAGCCACCTACTTGTACTATCAAAGTTTTTTTTTTGTCCATTGATTATCTATGAATCATCATAGGTGGTTTCTCATTATTACGTTATCAGACCTGGTTTGCCAGGTTCATGGTTTGCCAAAATATTGTTTGCAATATGAAGTGATTCTGAACAAAATTAAGTCCTCCGTTTGCATTATGGGCAGCAGAGTTTGGCTTTCGTTATGCAAGTATTGCAGTAGAAACTATTTTTTCTCTCATTATCCCGCAGGTTCTAGAGGATGGGATAAGGTAGGATGGCCAACACAGTGCTGTTTCGAGTGCTCGGGTTGTTTATTTGTGTCCGAGAGAAAGCGTGTGCCAGCGGTGTGCTGTGTCGCACTGTGCAGCAGTCTTTCTTGGGCAGCCCTTGCTGTGTTTTAGTGGCTCTTTGAAGGGAGCTACACAAAGGTTTATGAGTGAGGCAGCAACTGAATACACAGTGCCTTTCTTCTCTTGAGGGCCATTGCTGCTATCATAAATACCCTCTCCACCCTCTCAAGAGCTTTACAAAAGACAGAAAGTGTCTTCTGCTGCCATTTCCTCCTCATCATCTCTTCGGCTTCTCTGCCTCTTCTCCTTCGTCTGTTTTGTTGTCTTGTGTTTTCCTTATCACTCGTCATTGCCTCTTCCATGTGCTTCTCCTTGGGCTCTTTGTTCTCTTTCTTCTTCCTAATTGATCCAAAGAGCTCATCAAGGTGGAGGTGGAGGAGATCCTTAAATCATCTACTAAAATCCAAACAAGAGAGCGGGTGTAAATGGCCTCGCCTTACAGTTGTTGTAGACTACTCTAAGGTTCCTGTTCTTTACAGAAGGGAACCCATTGTGCGCTCCTGTCTGTCTCTAGCATGCACCTCCGACAGCTTCCCAGCACCTTGGGTAGCTAGTACATCAGCAATTCAGTCCATCTTTGAGCTCGCAGTTGTACTCTTCTAGGGTACATTTTCTCTGGCTGTGCCTTTTGCTTCATTCAGCATTGGTGTGGATTTAGAATGGCGATGTGGCAATCCTTTAGATAAGGGGCAGCAAATCCTCTATATAAATTACAATCTGCCATGCAGGAGTCCCCCTACGATCCACAGGCTGAATCAGGCTGAGGGAACGGGGGGTACAGGGGTGTCTCTCTGTGCCACCCTGCTGGGGTTAGGGTTAGACACGTCAATGTGATTGAGAGTGAAACCAGTCGCTTTCCTGTGCCCCCGTTATCAAATGCAGTGGACGTTGAGGCTTATTTTCCAGAAGGTGCTTTTGCCACAAAAAGGGTTTCAGTATGTAGGCAGCAAAGGGAACAGAGACAGAGCAAGCAAAGTGAAAGCAATGTGAATCCTTTCTTTGCTCCGTGTGGAAGATTTCTCTATGTGGAATCGGAAGCATGCGGGCTGCTGTGGGAAAGGGGTCGTGCTGCTGAAGGCAGGGGGCCGCAAAAACTGCTGGTGACTCCAGAGGCATTAGGAATGATTAAAAAGTATCCCTAAGGAGGCAGCTTCCAAGGAAGATCCGAAAATGGACTTGTTTCTTACATCTTTTTTTTTTGTCTGCCAGGCTGAATGTGGTTCTCGGAAGGCGGCGTGGCGCGAGGATGGGATCTCCTGTTGATAACCCTGTCAGCCCGAGGTGTGCAGTGATGTGTGCAGGAGGAGAGAGCGTGGGGCGGGGGGGGGGAGTTAGTGTTTTTGCTTTATGTCATCACTGGCGTCAGGCTTCTTCGAGTTCTAGTGGGTGGTCTCGGTTCATTTGCATCAGTAAATAGCTCTGTCTCCAGACCCATTTGTCTTCCATTGATTCCTAAATTAGGTTGATGCGGGCTCTCCTATCAGGTGACACGTTAATTGGGTCATGCTGCATCCCGTACGTGATCCAAACAATAGCTGCTCAGCACTAAATGTTTCACATCAGGCTGTCTTTTTCTCCCACCAATTAGCCTCTGTAATTAATTTATTTCCTGTGCTGTACACCATGGCCTCCATCGCTGTTGCCGGCTGGCCCTTATTGGCTGAGAGCTTTTCATTTGCTCAGCTCTGGGCACGGTGGTGCACAGTACTGGAACGGTTGGCGCTTCGTGCCACCGAAGCTCCTTTTTGTCGGAGCGGTCCTTCGGATTCTCTCCTCAGTGCTTCAATGGCAGAGCCCGGATCCCTGCCTGTACAAGGTCGGGTTTTTGCCAAAAGGACCTCATAAAAAAAAGTGCCGTGTCAGGCTTAGATAAGAGACCGCTGAGATATGTCACCGGCTGCAGTTGAGAAGGCCTGAGGCTTGGTGTAGGAGCACGAACAGTGTAATGTGGAAAACAACAAGTCAGAGAATCCAGGTTCAGTACCCCAGGATGCACAAAATTGATTTAAGATGTTGCTGTGCTGTTGTGCAGAAAACCCATTGCATTCTAGTGAGAATGCTTTCAACGTGTTCTTCTCTAGAATAACAAGTACATCCTGCTTCAGTAAAAACATTCCTGTCAGTTGTAGGCTTTGGTCCAGAGCTGAAATGATGCACAAGCAAGCTGGTGCACAGGAGCTGTTGTGTTAAAAGAAGGAGAGGTGAGGTCCTGACGTAGGTGTATGAAGAAATGAGAGGACCATCTGGACCTCCTGGATCAGTGGTTCTGGTGACCCACATACCTGTGTAACTGAGCCGAGCCCTCTGTTGCACAATTAGGCCCTTCATTGCCTTAATAATAAGATGAATTTGATCTCTTTGTTCCCTGCTCTGAACTATGTTGGGGCTTTAACAGTTCTGTTTTGAAAGTGAAATAAAATCCCAAACTTGGGACTAGAAACAAAATGCAAATATTCCAATGGAGTAACTTCTTAGATCACGTAAGCCTTCAGTTAGCTCATGCAGGGGGGCTGCAGGAGTGTGGGGCACCAGGACCCCTGATGACTGTCTCTTAGTTGGCAGTTAATTCATCTGAGCGTTTCCTCTCATTTTGGTAAAGAAGAGGCTCCTGTTCTGACCAAGTCAACCCAGTGTATTTCTTCAGAATGGGCACTGCAACATAAACCAGAGGACACGAGTTGAAACAGATTTAAAATCGAGAACGGGAGGCATTTCTTTACCCCCAAGAAAGTGCTGGGAGTCTGGAACTGGATTCCTAGCCAGGTTGTGGAAGCTAATACCCTGTTTTTTTTCAAGAAATGACTGAATTAGATCCTTGGAAGGATCGATTAGCTACTAGCTACCAAATTTGCTAGACAGGCTGACTATCCATGTCTAGTTTAAATTATCTTATGTTCTTATCATGTACTTGTGTCATGAACTTTTTAAGTTCTGTTGCTTGTCAAACCATGGTAGTGGTCATTCTTGAGTGGCTGGTTAAATTGTGTCGGTTTGATCTCTGTAGTGTTTTATTAAGGAGCAGACTGTGTCCAGTGCATAGACGCTTTGCCATTTTAGAAACATACTGGAGCAGTTTGTCGGGGGAACTGCTCTCCAAGTGTGTGGCAACAAAAAACAGTCCACACATAAGGGTTTAGGCTAAATAAATGATTTATTGTACAAAAAAGGGCTGAACAAGCAAAAGAAAAACATATAATATAGACACACCATCATACAACAAATGGGATGAATTTTGTCTACACAATGTGGCAAAAAAGCAAACAAGTGAAGAGTGGGAGTAGAAAGCCTGTCTTTCTGAACATAGCAAGTGTGACAGCCTGATCCTATTTTCTTATTTACACATGAGGTCTTTCCCCTTTATTCATGCACATTCACAACATGAAAGAATGCCGCAGTCAGTCAGGAGGGCGGGGTGGGGCGGGGCGCTCTGTGCGTGACTGAGGGGCTGTTCCTGGAGAACTGAGGGCAGAAGGGCAGCTGGCTGGTCATGACTCAGGCCATGGGCACGGAGGAGGCAGGAGGAAGACAGAAACCTGTTCTGTGTCTTAGATTGGCCTGAGGTGCTACATGTGCCATTGAGAACTCCAGTCTGGCTCTTCCAAACTGCAGCAGCTTGAATTTGGCAATGACCCACCATCCCCTGCGCTGTAGCCAAGTAGGAGAGAAAATCTAAAACAGGCAGCTTGGTTGTCACATTTCAGACACCTGCCTTTAGAAGATGGGTACAATAACTTATGTCTGCAAGGCATTGCAGAAAATGAAGGAAACCCTTTTTGCTTCTGGAGGGTTTCCTCAGTGGAAATATAGCCAGTGTGCTTTATTATTTTTCTTGGCCAGCTGGCTGCAGATGGAGAAGCACTGGGAGGCAGTATGGGCACTCAGCAGCCCTGGGTGAAAGCCACAACTACACAATGGGAAGAATTTAAATGGTGAAAGATTTAGAAATATCTAAATGCATCTGTGTGCAGTGCTTGGGGAGTGTTTCTGCCGAGAGGTGACTGGAAATGCTCAGCGTTGCTCTTGATCTCTGCTGCCCTGTGCTGTCAGGCAGGAGTGGGAGCTGCAGAATGACCCCAGGTACTGGCCCTGTAGAGCATCGATGATGAATGTTCACCAGATGCACACATCTGCATTGTACCAGTTCACCCCAGCTGGCTCGCATAAGTCACACAAGATATTAACACATGGGAACTGACCCCTAAATTGCTACAAAATGTCAAGTTTCTCTTGTCCGCTGGATTTCTTTTTTGGCTTGTCAAGGTTCATTTTCGAGAGCTCTTTTTCGTTGACCTCAGCACGTTGAACCCCAAGGGGCTTGTGCTTTCTAACCAGACCCCTGCCAGGCTAACAAAAACGAACTAGCGTGGTCATCCCCGCTCCAGCCCCCAGCTGGAACAGTGTGTTCGGGACAACGGAGAGATGGGCAAAGATCCTTGTTGCGCCGGTTCGAGCTTTATGGCCAGCACACAGGGGGATCAGACTGCCATACTTTCAGTCTTCACGGTCTGCACTTGACAGACCTGCTGGCCATGTCTGCCTGCGCAGAGACCTTCTCTGCCATTCCTCTATTTCAGGAGACAGAGCCGACGGGACAAGAAAAGCAGACTTGTACCAGGCAATAATCACGTCTGTCTCGGAGCAATACTGTCTGAAGGGATGGGAGGCTACAGTCCTCTCGGCCATGCAGAGCTTAAATACCTTAATTGAACTGACGATTTATCTATAACAAACAAAGTCAAATCGTCTCTGTCTTTTTCTTAAAGATCTCAGCAGCTCATAATAAATGATCTGTGAAACCTGCCAATCTGTGGTCTTGGGTCTGCATGGACCTTCCATTTTGACTAGACGCAAGAAGAATTCACCAAAAGATGCCCTAGCCCCCATGTGTAATTTGCTAACATAGAAGTTGGAGCTTTAAAAAAAGCAAATGTTGGTTTTGTCTTGTGCTTGCTGGTGAGTTGACCTGAATTTTCAATGTGCTTCCTGTATCGCCCCCTGTGTCTCCTGCACCTGGTAGCAGCTGCAGGGGCGGTGGTGCTGGGTCCCCACGAGGAGCTGGTCACGCGGGGAACCAAGGGCCTGCTTTTTCTCTCTCAGGTTTATAAAGATAAGATCACTTCATTGGCCACATACAGTTTCTTCCATTCGGAATGTGTCTTTTCACAGACCCCAGCTCGCTCTCCATGAGACACACGGACAGGGAGAGAAGCTGGGGGTCAGAGCGCAGGGTCAGCCGTTTATACGGCACCCCTGGAGCAGTTGGGGTGAAGGGCCTTGCTCAGGGGCCCAACGGAGTAGCCTCCGCAGGATACAAACCAGCAACCTTCCAGCCACAGGCGCAGGTCCACAGAGCCACCGCCCTGCCCCTTAAATAGGTGATGGGGAGGGCATGATGCTGATTTAACTCTTTCTATGCCGCTGGCACAGTGCAGGACTCGGCTCTGCAGGTTTGTCATACACAAACCCAGCTGGCACAGCTGTTCTCTCTGGCTCCTGATATTGCACAAGTGTGCCGTCACCTGGACGCAGTACAGAAGAGCAAGGCTGCTAGCGGCAGTGGGACAAGCTGCCCAGCGGGCAGGACGCCAGCCACTGGACCACATGTCACAAAGCCCCGCCATGGACAGGAGACACGGGCCGCAAGTCTCTCCGGGAGAGCCTCTGCTCTGCTCCCGGCGCGAAGGTGAAGAAACAGGGGCTGACTGACTGGGCCCTGTCCAGGATGGCCAGCCTACTCCAGCAGGGCAGCTGGCCAGGGCAGTGAAGAGCAGGAGAGGCCTTCATTTAACAATGATCCTGATATCAAATTCCTTGTGAATATAAATGATTACATCAGGAAGTAAAGGACGCTTGTATTACTGTTACACCCTGGAAAACTGGGCCGTGCTTCAATAGCAGGGTGAAAGAGTGCAACATAGGTCTGTTTCTGCAGGTTTGGACTGTATCTCAGACTACTTTCCAGTAAAAGGCAGTGTTTTAAGGTATTGTTTCCCAGAAAGGCCCTGGTTTTTGCCAATAATGTATATATTTGCCTATAAGCTCTGGCACTGAGACTCAGCAATTCTTAACTTGAAGCCCATGGATTTTGTGGGAGATTTGGACATCCAACCTTCTCTCCTGTGAGTCCTGAGCAGCTGTCAGAGGAGAAGGAGGAAGAACTGTGAACTGACTGCACACCTCCGCGAGCTGGCCTGATGGAGAACTGAGAATGCACTCGAGCCTTCAGTCTGAATACTTGCTGCACCACACTGTGAGTGCCCAGGCAGGTGCCAAGTGCAGTATTGCACACATGAGCTGCACTGCTAGAAACCGGACAGGTGCCAGGTGCGGCATCACTGCCCAGGCTGCACTACGAGTGCCAGGGCACCTGAGCTGCACTGTGAATGCCCGGGCAGATGCCAGGTGTATCACACCCAGTACAAAGCTACAGCATAAGGGTATCTGACCATCTGGATTGTTTGGCTAAGAACTGGTTGAGGTTAATGCAATGAGTGGTTGAGCTGAGACTGTCCTCCCAGGAACACAGTTTTTGGAAGCCCCAGAAAGCCTCCCCATGCCTGCCCCTCAACTGCTCCTCCTGTTTGCTCAGCTGGGGCTTTACTAGGGCTCTAGTCATTGATAATTCATTCACAAAGGAAAATCAAGAAACACAAAAACATCCCTCACATACAACATATCCACACATCAAAAAAACATCTGTCCCATTATATATTATACATTTGTACCCATTTACACAGTTGGCATTTTACTGAGGCAGTGTGAGTGAAGTATCTTTTTCCAGGATACAACTGCTGTGTCCCCACCTAGGATTTGAACCCACAACCTCCCCGCTGTGTGGCCAGAGCCCTGCCTGTTCCTCCACACTGCTGCTCTGGAGAGGGAGTCTGAATGATGTAACCCAGGGACAGCGGGAGCCGCTTGGGCTGAGACGAGTCAGAGCAGCTGTGTCTCGGCCGCGGGCTGCAGGCAGTCTCTGACGCGCGGGACGGTGTGTACGGAGCACGAAGAAGCAGGCTTTCACTTCGCACGACGACGACGAAAAGAAGACACACAAGTCAAGACAAAAACGGAAAAAAAAGCATGGCGACAACACAACCGGAAGGCAGACTCTCGCTAAGATACATCTCCACACTCGATGACAGACAGAAGCTTCGACATAAAGTTTTAAGTTATAATCCATTGTCAAGCTCTTGTGCTCAAGGTAAAATACAACACAATAACAACACAATTCCTCTCGCCATTGACTTCTCATAGTGCAAAATTTATTGTTGGTAAGGTAGAGTGCCCAGAAAGGATTTTTTTTATCATCTTTTTTTTTTTTTCATTTCAGAGGAAATTTTGCTTGTCATACCTCTTTCTTTAGGTTCAAAGGCTCTTCCTTTATCCAACGGCATAGTGCTCTCGTTTCCAGCAGGAGATGTGTGTGCTCAGACAGGCCCCTCCTGCGCTACCGAACTCTGCAGGGAGGGGGTGCTCTCTCTCTCTCTCTCTCTCTCTCTCTCGCTGTGTTGGCTTCTCCAGAAAACTGTAGCAGATGGACGTGACACAGTGGTCAGCCATTCCCCCGTCTGTGGTCTCACGGGCCACGCGGTCAGCTAAGACAGCGTCCATCTTGCCGGAGGTTTCGGTGTGTTCCTGTCTTCCCAGGACAGGACAGTCCAAACCGACTGTGGAAAGTTGGGATTCTGGAGGCAGTGGAACAATCACACCGGGATTCGACATCAGAAGCCTGTTGAGGCGGGTGGCAGGACGAGCGTTTTGAGCAGGATGGCGTTTTGAGACCGGTTCACAAGCTAGGAACGGTTTCTACGTAAAGGAGATTTTTTGTTTTTGTTTTTATGTCTGGCCTAAAGCAGAAGAGACATCTTCACACCTTGTGCCTTTGCTCAGCCCTTCACCTGATTCAAGTCCTGTCATTTCATGTATTAAGGTGTATTTTCCAGCTGCTGCTGGAGGGCCTTGAGTTAAGGTGTACGGGCTATATTCTGTTGAAAAACTACACGAGGATTCCAGGAGATGAGAAGGGAAAACTGAGGAAATGAGCCCAGGATGTAACACCTTGCAGCCAAACGTGGGTTCATGTCATAAAAGAGACATGAACGTCTGAACTGACTCAGTTAAACACAGAGCAAGTACTCTAGAGGGGCCTCACTGCAGAGAATAATGGCACAGAAACTCTGTTGGTTTGGGAAAGCAAAGTCTCCTCGTGAAGCTTAGGGGGGTTTACAGATTTGTCAAATGGTGTGTCAAAGCACAGTGCATTCTGGGAATGTGGGGAGCAATGAACAGTTTCCTCACTGGAATTTGGGTTGAGGTGGGTCAGAAAGACACGCAGCTCACTGAGTTGTTCCGGGGCGTGATCACTGCGCCTCTTCAGTGCTTCTGTCGCTGCCAGAAGAGCGCTTCGGTGTTCTTTAGAGGAGGAGGGCTAGTCTTTCTTAGTCACCCATTGATACAGCCTTCGCCCAGACCAAACTGCGTTCCAGCTCTCCTTGAGCAACGTCAGGGTGCGCGGAATATCTTGAGGCAGGAGAAAGCCGTTCAGCGCCGGGCCCGCTCAGAAGCGTCAGCCCGTGATTGACCCCTTCCCTCGGCGCCCCAGATGGAAAAAAGCGACGGGGTGAAAGCATGGCGACACCCACTGCAGCCTCCTCCACGGCCAAACCGCTGAGCCGCCTTCTCTCCACTCTCGCTTGCTTTCCAGAGGAGAAACCAACCCTTCTGCTGTTTGTAAGCCTCTTTTACAAGACTAGAAGTAAAGGGACATCAAAGTGAGAAGAAAAGGGCCGCGATTCTGGAGAATTTCACACCAGGGTGGAACTGGGAACCTGGGGGGACGCAGATGGAGCCCTTAGGAATCTTGTGCGGCTGTGCGGCGCTTTAAAACCGCCAGTTAAAAGTGTGCGGACACTGCCATGTGCGCCGAGGGGAGTGGGTCAAGTGTAAAAGCAGCATCAGCGTTTTTCCTCATGCGTGATCTTCCAGTGTCGCATCTAGCACAGAGCATGCAGGTGTGTTTGTTTACAGACCTATTCTAACCAGCACAAAAGGGGGGCCAGACTAACACCTGTACGTTGCGCCTGAAATACATTGTCACTCCATTCCCAGCCCTCCTGCGCTGGGCTACCAGGCGTTTCTGCAGCACAGAGAGATATGTGTCTTGCAGAAGATGACTGAGAACAGGACAGTTCAGTCCGAGATGCACCCCTGAGGTCAGGAGAGGAAGTGGTTGGAAAAAAACACGTGCTGCTTCCATTTAATCTTGTCGTTTCCTGCTGGGTTTCGGCAGGTGAAGAGTGGCCTGCCCAGAGGCTAGCCCTGGATAGGATGCCCGTCATCAGTTATTATAAAGACGCTGGCAAACCAATGCAAGTATCTGACTCTCATTCAGGCTGTCTCTGCCTGGTCACTGTAGTGCACTGTCAGGATTATCCCACACTGCAGTGTGCTCCATCCTCAGGTGTTTAACATTTGGACCTGACTATTAAGCCTTTCAGAAACAAGGCAAAGGAAACTGTTTGACGGGGACAGCAGAAATGGGTGCTTAATGCTACAAAAATACTGAATCAGAAACCCTGGCATAGATACATACATGCCTGTTTTGTTTATTTCTCCTTATAAAGTCAAACCTCAGTGGAAAGAGCCTTTCATACCGTAGCCCAGGGTCTTCACGTTTTGAGGAAGCGTGTGTGTTTAAAGTTTAATTGCTCATACCTCCGTAGTAATTCTCCTTTGAAAGGCAGTGGCAGGACAAAAGACCAGTCTTGAAATGGAGAGGCGATGTTGGTTTGTGTCCAGCAGATGCTCTTCTGTCCATTTGTTTCCATCTTTCTTTTCTGCAGCTTGGCCGAAACCTCGCTCCACAGCTGGCAATGGCAGAGATAATGAAGGCATGGGAGACCCCGATTGAGAAAATAGCAGAAATTCTTAAAGCGTTTGCTTTCAACGTTGCCATTGGGCGGTTAAGGGTCTTGGTAGGCAGCAGTTTGGGGCAGGTGTGAAGGTGGCTGAATGTGGCTGTGGGAATCTCATATGTTACGACACTGCCAGGCCGTGTAGGTTGTAGGTGAGATGGCTCCAGCTTCTCATGATCCTCTTCCTCTGGCAGCTCTAACTGTTCTTGTGCCGAGAGCCACAGACAGATATCGCACGTCTAAAAGCGATTCAGAGACAGAGACATGGATGGAACGACCCACCTATGAAAGACCCTGCCAGCCGGGGCTTGCTTGAAGTCGCTCATATCCTCGGTATAAAGCAGCACATAGACGCTGTCCTGCGCACTGTTTCTCCTCGGGTTCGGCTGCAACCCAACCAGTAAAGAAGCTCTCATCACCTTGTAGCACTGAGCACACCGGCCCTTCACAGAAGTGTGACGTTTCTGGGGTTCCTGGTTGCTAGAAGCCAGGGCACACAAACCGAAATGGACCCGGGTCCGACTACACTGGACAAACCAGTACACCTGTCCTGAAATGGAGGGTTTGCCGTCATGTTCAATATGACAGCAGACTTTTAAAAGCTTCCTTTGCAAACATAATAGCTGTGTTTACCCTCTTGCTTTCCAGGTACTCCAGCAATGTCCTCCTTATATATTCCTGACACTTTAATGATGCCATAGTCCTGTCTTTATTTCTTTATTTTATTCTTATTTATTTTCTTATATATAAAAAAAGATTTTCCTTTGTTTTGCTCGTGCTGTGCTTCTCTTTCCCAGGTGTGCGGGGGTGGAGGGTGGGCCGTGGGGGCGTGGTGGGAGAGGAGGGTGTTGGGAGAGCTCAGTCAGTTGGGTGGGCACTTTAGGAGCACCCACAGCGGTCCACCACCATCCCTGGGATCTTCCCATGAATGATCTGCTGTTTGTCATTGAAGTAGAGCATGTTGATGGGGGACATCTTGGTGGGCGTGCAGCAGGGCCCTGCGGAGCCGCGCGGGTTGGCGTGCTGGACCAGGTGGGTGTGGGGGTACTTCTGCATGAACATGTATTCGCACTGCCCCGAGCAGTAGTTGGCCTTGTATCTCTTGGGGGCGATGATCCAGTCCCAGCCGAAGGCCTCGAAGTCCACGGTCAGCGGGTAGCGGCAGCAGCGCGACTCGGTGGAGTGCTCGTCGCAGTCCAGGCCCAGGTTCCTCCGCGAGCGCTTGGACGTCTCCAGCACCTTCACCTCCAGGAAGGGTTGCTGTTTGCAAAGAGGAGAACAGCCAGGCAGGTGAGAATCTATGCACTGACTGTCCTGCACACACTCACACACGCACTCCCAGTTGCACACGTGCACACACTCACATAAGCACTTACAAACACACTCCCATGTGCATTCGCACACGCACTCCCACGTGCACTTGCACACACACTCCCACATGCACACACATGGTCACACATGCACTTGCACACACAGTCACACATGCACTTGCACACGCATTCCCAAGGGCACTTGCACACACTCACTTGCACAGGCATTCCCATGTGCACTCACACACGCATTCCCACGTGCACTCGCACACACAGTCACACGTGCACTTGCACACACAGTCTCACACACACACACACACTACCATGTGCACTCCCACATGCACTTGCAAGCACAGTCACACACACACTCCAAGGTGCTCTAGCTCACACAATTTCTTAACTCTTCGACAAGTTTTTGATGTCAGCTGAATTGTGTTGCTCCTACAATCCCTGCTCCCGTCCATTCAGGGCTTTCTGGAGTTACATAACCTCTCAGTTGCTTCACCAATTTGAGAACCTGCGAGCTCAACCAGTAATCCATAATAATCTTTGAGGAGTTTATACTCAATATGGCCAGTTATTCATCATTCATCAGCACTGACAATGTAAGAAAATGATCCTCGGTATTCCAGCAGCCCTGAATAAAGGTAGAATCATTCAAAAGAAGTAGAAATATTTCAAATAATTCCTCAAATTTCTGGAACCAGTACCACACAAATTTCTTGAAGGAGTCTCTTTCAAATGCACTTCACTGTTTTGCAATTCAGCATCCACAAAGAGCAAAATATAAACAACTCACACAGACAAATATGAATACCAGCAGAGTAACTCTGAGACTTCCTTCTTTTCTTTACTCACAAAGAGCAAGAAGCACCAAGCGAGGGGGTTTGACCCTGAAGGTCAGGTCTTTTCTCCAGAAGACCTTTAAGGGTTCAGTTCCAGCTGTTTCCTTTGTGAGGAGTCGTGGCTGCAGAGCGTACTGGACCAAAACCTCTGGCAGGGTGGACTCGGTGTGAGGTCAAGGTTAAGGTCAGCTAATGAGGACCGAAGAGGTCAAAGGTCAACATTGCCCTCAAAATGCAGCTCATTCATTTGACAGTTACAGCGGCGTTGAGCCTAAACCCTTCAGGCTTTTCAGGACTGTTCCCAGCCCAGCATTCCTTTCTTAAAAAAAAAAACAATGCTCAACCTAAATGGTATTGATAGACCACTGCCAAGAAGTGTGGTCTGGGAAAGAGGTACAGAGAGGTAGCTTCGGAAGACTGGTCTCTGCTACTGTAGCAGTTCCTCTATCTGATTGATAGATAACGGTGCTCTAGAACGTGGGAGTGGAAACAGTCACCACCCTAAGTTTTCTTCCACCAGCTGGATGAGCATTTCACCGTCCAAATATTGAGAACCATACAGTCTGAGAGCTGAGTCCCAGTGCCATTATGGCCATTTCTGACAGCCTGTTTCAGAAGGGAGCCTCGCAGTTCTCAGACATACATGGTTTAGCGCTGACTTCTGTGATCTCCTTCATATTCTGCAGCACCCTGGAAAATACTGTGTTCAAGACTGGAATTGTGCGGAACCTACAAAACTGCCAACGCATCCCACCTTGAGAAGGCGATCGACAAGCTACCAAAACACTGGGGGACTTTTTGATAGGGCAGTCGTTGGACAAAAAGTCAAATTAAAGACTCCTCCCATCCCCTGAATTCACAGTTTGCAATGCTTCTAGCTGGCTGACATTTCAGGGACCCTAGAGCTCTTAAAAATGTATAATACATCCTTTATCCAATACTCCATACAAGTACAGGGTTCAAGTTGTATTTGCATTATGATCAATGTGATTTATTCTGTGCATGTACGATTCTTCATGTTTGATGTGTTGTTCTTTTTTATGTTTGTCAATGAACTGCATGTTGTGTATTTTAATTAATTGTATTATTTGTAATGGTGGAATCCAATCCTAAGACACATTTCCACTTTTAGCGGGCAATAAGGTTAATCTCTCTTAGTTGCGTGTCTGAACTCAGGGTGACATTGTTTCAAACTCTCTGTGCTGTCATGAGTCATCAGCAGTGAAATTCAAGTGTCAAGCCTGATAGCACATTCCTGTGGGCTGGACTTCAGGTGATCTTTATACCTATTTGAACTGACCACCACATGGGACTTTAAGCATCTATCCTGCACACGGTGTCTTTGTGGGTGATCTGTCATCAAGCGATCGGGATAAGGGACCAGCCTTAGCAATACCTTTGCAGCAGATCACCTCACTTCCAGCTCTTCAGAGAATTCACAGGCCTCGATGTGAGTACATAGTACATGATACTTGTCCAGCACCCCAAAGGTGTGCTTGAGCTGACAAAGTGGCAGATGTAATTGATTACAAGTGTGCAATCATTCTCACACTCTAACCTAAGTCTTACAGATCCCAGATTAATTTAATAGTTTAGTGCCCCCTCTGTAAAGGCATAACCTGACTTGGGTCACCTCTTCTCCAGGGACAGGATACCTGAGAGGTCTATGCGGAGAATGATGCCCAGGTATTTGCGTTATTTCTCATCTAGTTATTCAGAAAAACGAAAGTGCTGCCGTGTGGAGCGAGTTGTGAAGTGAGTGCTTGAGCAGTACAGGAGTGCAGCAGCAGTGTGCTGTCTGGCCTCCCTGCTCCCTGTGCTCTAGCTGCTGTTTGTAGATGCCATTGAGCTTGTTAAAGGACCTGTATCCTCTTTAGCCAGTTTTCAACTTAAAATAAAGACTTCCATCATTTTCGAGAACACAAGCCTCCGGCCCCATCTTGAAGCCTTCAAAGTCCAGGCTGGGGTGTTATTTCAGAGGGAAGTACTGGAAACAGAAGGAGAAGCACACTAGTGACCGCAGGCAGGTAGGGAGCAGCTGAACACCCTGTTCTCAGAGCTGAGAGCTGTTCCCTTTCCCCTCTTCTGCACACGAACAGAGCAAAAATATAGGGAGCCCCTGGGTCACGGGGGTAGGAGTGGGGGTTGTAGGCAAAAATCGTTAATGTCCTGACTTTTTAGATTTTAAAGACTGACCTCTTACTAAAAGCCACGTTTCTATTTTGGAATTGTGTGCTTGCACACCATTTTCCATTCAGCTGAGAACGCCATTGAGAAGGTTGGGATAACTTGAGCTCACGAGGAATGACAGCAGCCGAAAGCTTGGGAGAAATTAGAATCGTTTATTGGCATGTGGAGATTTGGCGTAACCCGCTTGGCTGAGGGCCAACCTCCCGGCCGTTGGACGGGGAGGATAGGACCCCCATGCGACCAATTGGGCAGCTGCAAAGGTGGAGAGGGGGTGGAGGAGGGATACAGAAAATGAACGAGGAAGAGGAGAGGGTGACGTTTGATATTTATGGAGACCGGTTGCTTACGTCAGGATTAGTGGGAATTGCAGCAGCTGTGTCGAATGAGCGCGGCTGCCTTCATTCCTCCCGAACTTTCATTAAAAGCTCCATTTAACCTGGCCGGGACTACAGTGCTCTGGAGGCTGCTACGCCTCGTGTCTTCTGGAAGGCTGGGATGGGCCTGTGTCAGCGGGCCGGGCGCGGCTGCGCGGCTGGCCCTGACGTAGCAGCCGAGGCCCGGCCTGGCGGGAGAGCTGGGGGGTTCAGGCCTGAGCTACGGCCCCGAACTCACTGATCCGCCGGCGGCTCGGGTTGGGGGGGGGGGGGATTGGGGGATAGGGGACGGGGGGGGTGGCTCACCAGTCCTTCCTCCCCGGGCCGCAGCGAGGTCACAGCCAGGTCGTTGCCGCTCTCGTCGAAGGCGTTGATGTCGATGCCCCAGTTGGTGTGCGGCTGCTTGAACCAGTTCTGCAGCACGTGCTTGAAGTCGATGCTCTGCCAGTGGCCGGCGCGGGAGTTCAGCTCGATCTTCAGCGAGCGGATGCGGATGTGCCGGCTGCCCTCCTCCGTCACGGGCTTGAGCCGCAGGATCTGCAGGTACACGGTGGAGGTCTGCTGCAGGGGCCGCAGGTAGACCCAGAGCTGGGCCTTCAGCACCTTGGTGAACATGATCTTGGGGCTGAACTTGAAGAAGCAGCAGCTGGGCTTCCCATCCACCTGGACCACCGGCTCGGCTGAGGACAGACAGTCAGGAGGGAGGGACACCGTGAGTATGCATGATCTTGATCGCAGATAGATATAGATGTGAGTATATAGTACACGATCTTGACCAGCACCCCAAAGGTGTGCTTGAGCTGACAAAGCGGCAGATGTAAGTGGTTACAAGTGTGCAATCATTCTCACACTCTAACTTAAGTCTTACAGGTCCCAGGTTAATTTGCTAGTTTAGTGCCCCTTCTGTAAAGGCATAACCTGACTTGGGTCACCTCAACTCCAGAAACAGGATACCTGAGAGGTCCATGTTGTGCCACAATTATTTGGGGCAGTTCTTATCAAGTAAGTCAGAAAAACAAAAGTGCTGTAGTGTTTCTGAGGAGCGTGTTGTGAAGTGAGTGCAGTAGCAGTGTGCCGTCTGGCCTCCCTGCTCCCTGTGCTCTAGCTGCTGTTTGTAGATGCCATTGAGCTTGTTAACGGGCTGCCTGAACTCCGGGGGGGTGGCGCCACAAGGACAGGCCGCATCAGGTGATACACAATGACACAATGTCACACAATGAAAAGAGAGACTGGAGCTTCAGGAGCTTCTGGAGCCGAGCGGTACCGCAGAACAGGCCTCAGCCAATTCGCAATCCATGCAAGGCCCACGTTGGAAGAGAAGACACCGCTCTCTCCCTTCGAGTCCTGAACGCTTGCCCTGATCCTCTCCCCCGACTGCACTCAGATTCCCAGCCCTGTCTCTCTCATGAACTGCATGAATTGGGATTCTTGAAAATTAATTTTGAGATTTTCCTGACAAGGATGAGCTGAAGGCATTGCTCATGGGCATTACCCAGCTTTTAATAGTACCTGCGGGTACACAGAAGTCAGATATGTGTGTTCTCCAGTATCACATTTCTCCATGAACACCTCCTTTCGTTTGTTTCTTCCCCTATCGTAATGATTAACAAACGAGACTGGCCGTGGGACCTATGACCTCACCTCCTCCCCCTCCTCGCCCTAACTCCTATAATCCTCCTGAGCCTCTGATATCACACTGTGGTAATATTCTTTAAAACCAATCCCAAAACATCTCTCCACCATTGTCAAAGAAAAATACTTGAAATATTTGGCATCGCCTGGTTCCCACTCGCTGATTACAACTCTTGCTCTGATGCTTCGAGTTGGACACGAATAAGACGTTGGCGCCGCGTGCAGTGTCTTTTTATGAAGGGGTACATCTATGGCCAGGAGCCAGGTATGAAATCAGTGAGCAAAGCAGAGCCGGGCACTGCTGTGAGCGCCCTGCAGACCTGGGGGATTTTTCTCGACCAGCGCAAAGGATCTAAGGGCCATGGGGAGCAACCCAGCAAGGTAGGGCTTTCTTTAAGGCTCAGGCACCGAACGTCGTTTGGACCCTGGGCCGTGTCTTGTGCTGACTCTCCTGTACGAGAGTGCGCACGGCAGATTTTCAGTCTGCAAGCAGCTCTGACAGCCTCCCAAAGTGCCAAAAAGGATCAGCTCTGGCAGTTCCCATATACAGAATTCCTTTACTGAAGCCGGTGAGGGATAGTGACAGACAAGTCAATCTCATCCCGCTGTTTTAATACTGCAATCATTACCAACCTTCACTATATACAGTAGATACAACTCTTGCACACACCTCTTCCACCCCTTCTCCACCTTCACAGCTGCCCCTTGGTTAACGCCTCTGTCTGAAGGGGGCGTTGAGACTCCTCGTCCTGTGGCCAGGAGGCTACCCCCTTAACCGAGCAGGTAGAATAAAAACTTATTATACTCATAGTTCATACTGAACATTAGCATCTGATTCTTGGATGGCCTTATTCCTTATGAAACCGTATATAGACTAATATATCTACATGTCAAGAATTCATTCTACATTAATGGAGGTCTAACCCACATTCGGGAGGGACGAAGGCGGCCGAACTCGTGGACTAGTTAAGCTCAGCAGCCGCAACTCGTAACTAATCCTGACGGAATCTCCTCAGTTCCCGTACATACCACACGTCACCGTTTCCTCTTCCTCGCTCGTTCTGTGCATCCCTCCTCCACCCCATGTCCGCCTTTGAATTGAAGCCACCCCTTGGGGGTCCCAGCCCCCTCCCCTCCCCCCCCGTTCCTATGGCTGGGAGGATGGTCCTCAGCCATGCCGGTTGAGGCAAAGTTTTCACAAAATTCAACAAACGATTCCACCGCCACGCAGTGTCTGGCTGCTGTCTTTCCTCGTGAAATAATATCCACTTGTCAGGGTGGGGGATGCCTGGCACCCTGCCAGACACGTTGACGCGTCTGCTGGAATAAGGTCAAGAGTCATTGACCTTATTCCAGCTAGGAATACACCTCAACACCTGACTCTCAAGCACCTCGATCACATCTGATCAATGTCTCAAAGGCAGGAAAAAGAGCACCACCTACTGGTCTAGCCACTCCAAAATCCACACAGATTTTGGTTTCAAGACCAGGGGTCAAAAGGACTTTTGGCGCACTGAGTGGTAAACCAGAGACTGACGCCGGACAGATAGAGATTTTCCTTCATGAGAAGGCTGATATCTCCAACTTCTAGAGCTGCACATCAGAGATTTCATAACTGCCACCTGTTAGGACAAATACTTGTTAAATAATGACCATGTGACAAAAGATTTGTTATGCCTAATTAGTAAATAACAAATTGCAACTTGCCACTTAGGAAATAAAAAAGCGTACACACAGCGAACAGTTCAGACAATGATTATGTAAGATCATATGATCTGTTTAGGTAGAAGCCCCTTCAATGAAATCACTGGCCCAGCCCAGCAGAGCACTATCCCCTGATTGTGCCAAATTCCCAAGAAGATCTATTTGAGCCCTTTTCTCAACTATTTTCATTCAAAAACAGGTCAAACTCTTAAATACCACAACCTGAAACTAGCATTTTTCTAGTTTTATTTGATTCCACATTTTCATACAGTATGTAGTTGTTTGAACAGTGAATTATTCCCCCTTGTCAGGAATAATGCTGTTGAATCCTGTCCTGATAAATCAGCTGACCTACAGTAAGCGTTTATTGAGCAGAGCGTTTCCTCCAGGTCTGAACGATCACTGACAGTGAGGCGCGGGCCGGGCGCCATCGTTAGCCAGCTGTGACTCCCATTCCCCCAGGGCCCACGCACAATTGGTGGACAGGTGCCAGGGCCCCAGTCGACTGGGGTACCCCTGGTGTGCCGTACAACACCCACAGCCACCCAAGCCTTCTCCACATAACGTTGTTACAGAACATCCGCAGGTGTAAAAACAAACAAAAGCAACCACTTTCGTTCGAAAACATCGGCAGAGACGTTGAAGTAAGACCCTTTTCTCCAACTATTCGAGTTACCTATTCAAGTGGCATCTATTGTAAAAATAAAAGCCTTCGCCTTTCCAGCGGAGGGATGGAGGATTTTTTTTATGGCCTCTAGAAGGAGGGGCCTGTCGGTGTGGGGTTGCCGTGGCAACGTACAAAGGCTTCCTGGGTCAAAAGGCCACTTTGGCACCTAGGCCTTGTTAAGAAAGGGGGTCAGAGGTCAAAACCGTCAGCCTTTTACATCCCCGGGGGTTCTTGGGGTCAATCCTAATAGCCAAGTGGAAATTGAGTTTGAAGGTCAAGGTCGACTAGGCACTCAGCTTGAGGGCAATGGTAATATATGTATCTCTACTCTCCTAAAGATTCCTTTCACTCACACTCACAGGAATGTTCTGGGCTTTGCAGACTGACCTGGACAAATGTCTTCCATCTTATTTGCACTGAAGAAGGAAAGTGAAGAGTTTTCGTGTTCCTATTCTGCACAACAAAACATTGACTCGTGAGGCGTAATCAGGAGTGATAACGTATGTATGTCGTGAGCATCAAGGGCTTAGAACCTCCAGTAGTGCTTTCTATGATTAGAGCCCGATTAACAGTTATTAACACAGCTCAGCATGAGTGAGAAAAGAGAAAGCTTTTGATTTAACATCATTAATTCATTTTGACCACATTCTTCACGAGTGGATCACAGCTTCTCAAGGTGACCCTCACACATGAGCTGCCAATATGAGCGGTTGTAGTAGCTGATCCACCACAAACGTCAATCACATCTTGCGGACATCCCAGGCGTTCTCCATCCCAGACATTGCTCCTCTCCACACGGATGAACCTCAAAAGCTACCCCCGTGCCATAGAATAGGGATCTAACAGGACTGACTGCTGATTTGAAACAAAATATCTCAGATCTTCGTAGGAAATTGCCAAAGATTTGGGTTTCTGCATAAAAACAAAAAACCCTGAATGAAAAGAGCTGAAGAGTTTGGGCACACAGCTCCAGAGACACACTGATTCACCTGGCGGGTTGAAACTGATGCACATGTACGAGGGCAGCAATCAGGAGACAGGAGCTGTGAAGCCACACTGCAAACTGCCACCCTATTCACCTTGGATGAACTAGACCATCTCTTACCCTGTACGGATCAATGACTATAAGTACTAAATACCTCACTCTTCAACTCAAAGAACAATAAGGGAAATACTGAGTGAAAATGGAATTGGAATCTCTTTCTTCACAGCAGGCTGCTGGACTCACTGGCCAGCTCCTTGAGCACGGTTGCACTCAATCCTATTGAAGCAGGACAGAGGAGGGATAGCTCTGCTGGGGTGTGTCGCCGTGTCAGTTCACTCAGTGTTACAGAAAATAGAATAAGGTCTGGTGTAAAGTCTGGTTAAGGTAACCTTAAGTCCCCGTTGTCTCTTCACACTGCTCCTGGACCTCTGCTCCAGAGAGGTTAAAAGGCAGAAAGAATTTTAATTACAACCCTTCAGTTCTGCGGATATGCTATTAGAAATCTTAAGTCCTTCAGCTTTATTTAGCTAAAAATTCATATTTTGGATTCCCTAGTAACAGAAATGAAACCTGTTTCTGTGTCATTTTTAATGGCTACTGCACACAAAGAGGTTTATAATCTTCTTGAGATGCCTAACAGCTTTCTAAAAGCTCAGCTGATGTTGACTGAAAACCCCACAGGAGCTCTGAAG